TATGAGCGGTAAGCCCTATCTACCCCATTTTGTTTGGATTCACCAATAGGGGGCGCTAAAGAGTCAAAAAGTTTGTTTGAGCTAAACGGCTTGATGGATTTCCCCAGAACTTGGCACATATGTTAGTCATCGGACCCTTAAGCTACATTTTGAAAATGATTAAAAAGTGGGCGTGGCTTATAGGCTTTAAAATTTTTCGCCCTTTTACTCATGAAAAATATATATTCTAAACAGAAAATTACAATTCTTATCAGTCATAGTGACATCTACAATCACAGAAAATTTTTTGAATTTGGTCCAATAGGTGGCGCTGTGGTACCCCAAAAATATTTTTGGCATGTTTCTCCCCATTTCTTACGTAAAAAAACAAATAATCTCATCCAGTGTGTTCATTGAGTCAGTCAAATTTAGATGAGTATTTTAAAAAATGTTTTAAACTTATGCAAATTAGCAGAAATGTGCATAGTAAGTCCAACGTACTTTCGTTAACTCCTCCCAGCCGTCAAACTCAATCACATCACAACTTTCCCTGACAAGAGAGGAGGAGCGGCTGACCAAAAGATGTGAAGGGATTTTGGATAATTTGCTTATTTTTTTTATTATGATTTTTTTAAATCATTTTTTGGGAATGAAAAAGTTTTTTTAGCGTAACTTCAAAAGATTTTGACATTTTTCAAAGGTGTTCATAACAGTCAAACCTAAGGTCAATTCAAGTGTATGTCTTGATTTTCACCTTGATTAAACAATAGGGGGCGCTATAAATAGCAATACATTATACTGCTGACCTGGTTAAATGGATCTGCACGAAACTTAGTGGTTGTCATCATTGTAGAGTCTTAAGACTACATTATCAATATGGTAATGATTGATCAATGTGGGCGTGGTTTATGATCATTTAAAATTTCAAATTTGAAAAATTTCCTAAAAATCATTATTTTCATGTAAGAAGCTACGTTTTCCAGATTATGTTAACTGGATAGCCATGAGCTTAGATATTGAAAACCGCAGCTCCACGAAGATGTTTGCGCTTTAAATTTACAAAAATACATTTTTAGGCTAGCAATTGTAGCGCAAATTCTGTTTTCACAATCTTCTTGACATTTGCCATAAAGTTCACTCTTAGGTGGTTTATGAAACAAAAAAAAATGTCGTCTTGATTTGAGCTCCCCCTTGTGTTTAATTATAGGACATATTTTTGTCTACAGCAACTAACGCAAATATTATTTTATTGTAGGTACAATTTTACATTTATGACCCCAACAAAAATATAAAAAGAATTCTCACATCACAGAGGCAATCTCGGAATATTTTGAGATTTTTGTACGAAAGCATTGATTTTTAATGATTTTTTAACTTTTTGCCAGTTTTTCTGTATAGTTGGACAACAACGTAATTAATTTTTGTTAGAAAGTTTTTTAGGTATACAGTAAATATAAACCAATTACAACATTCAACATGTACCTATGGTGATCTGAGATTTTTCTATAAATTTTAGAAAGTAGCACTATTTTTTTATGAATATTTTAATTTTGACTGTGACCCTTACAGTTATATTTACTGATTTTTCTTCAAAAAAGCTTTGAGTCTACTGATTTAAAAACAACATCATATTATTCCACATGTCAACACTGCCATGTGAGAATATTTTGGTAATTTTATGATGAGTTATGTATTTTTTATGATTTTTTGAAACATTTGGTCAGTAAGTCACAAAATGAAACTCATTGTTTTTGTTGAAAATCAATTAAATCTAAAGACATTATCAAGTATTTATGTTGTTTGTAATATTCTGTTGATGTATAGATTATTGTTTGATAATCTCACTCATTAAATCTTCACGTTCTTTAATAAGGAAACAGTGGAATTCCATTGTAATCACGATTGAGAAGTCAGCCATGCCTCTGAAAGATGTGTATAGGCTTTGCAGGTTTAATGACGTATCCTGAGTGTTACTTTCATTGCGCCGGTTGAAGTGAGCTGACGGGACGCCGGCGGGAGAACGTGTTTTTGGGGCGGGACCGCGTGAGGACCGGCGAAGGTGAGGGCGGGGCCGGGTGGGCGACTGGCGCTGGGGGCTTGGAACCCGTTGATAACTGCTTGCAGTTCTAGTTATTTATTATTCTTCTCCGCTACGTTTGTATGGGGGCAGGAGCCAGAATTTGCCAGGAAAAATCTGACATGGCAGTCTGATACAAAATCCTGACCGCTACTCAGATTCGAAAATTTGGACCCCGCGTCACCTAGGTGGCGCTATTGCGGAGGTCAACACGTTTCAGCTACTAGCTCCCAAACCGTAGGTCCTACAGTCATATACTTTATATGTACATGATCCTTGGGTGATTCTCCATCTTTTTTGTATTGGCCACGCCCATTTCCGCCTAACTAGATTTTTTGCTAGATCGCAAAAAACGCAAAACTTACTTTTAATCACCTATTCGTCATTTTTCGTCGAATCAACTTCAAACTTCGTACATATGATCTATGGACTAAGATAAGTTGTGGTGATGAAGAAAAATGCAGAAATATTGAAAATTGGGCTAATGACACCATGTCAAAATCAGTGTGCTAGCTAGCACATGTGGTAATTGATGATATCTTCACCATTTCTCAAGATAAATTGATGAGACTCTAGACCCTTATGAAGTATGAGCGGTAAGCCCTATCTACCCGATTTTCTGTGGATTCACCAATAGGGGGCGCTAAAGAGTCAAAAAGTTTGTTTCAGCTAAACGGCTGGATGGATTTCCACAGAACTTGGCACATATGTTAATCATCGGACCCTTAAGCTATATTTTGAAAATGATTAAAAAGTGGGCGTGGCTTATAGGCTATAAATAGGCTTTAAACGTTTTTGCCCATTTACTCCTGAAAAATACATATTCTATACAGAAAATTACAATTCATATCAGTCATAATGACATCTACAACCACAGAAAATTTTTTGAATTTGATCCAATAGGTGGCGCTGTGGTACCCCAAAAATATTTTTGGCATGTTTCTCCCCATTACTTTTGTAAAAAAACAAATGATCTCATCCAGTATGTTCATTGAGTCAGTCAAATTTAGATGAGTATTTTAAAAAATGTTTTAAACTTTTGCAAATTAGTAGAAATTTGCATAGTAAGTCCAACGTACTTTCGTTAACTCCTCCCGGCCGTCAAACTCAATCACATCACAACTTTCCCTGACAAGAGAGGAGGAGCGGCTGACCAAAAGATGTGAAGGGATTTTGGATAATTTGCTTTTTTTTTTTATATGATTTTTTTTAAATAATTTTTGGGGAATGAAAAAGTTTTTTTAGCGTAACTTCAAAAGATTTTGACATTTTTCAAAGCTGTTCATAACAGTCGTACCTAAGGTCAATTCAAGTGTATGTTCTGGTTTTCAACTTGATTAAACAATAGGGGGCGCTATAACAAGGACAAATTATACTGCTGAACTGGCTAAATGGATCTGCACGAAACTTAGTGGTTGTCATCATTGTAGAGTCTTAAGACTACATTATCAATATGGTAATGATTGATCAAAGTGGGCGTGGTTTATGATCATTTACAATTTCTAATTTGAAAAATTTCCTAAAAATCATTATTTGCATGTAAGAAGCTACGTTTTCCAGATTGTGTTATCTGGATAGCCATGAGCTTAGATAATGAAAACCGCACCTCCACGAAGAGGTTTGCGCTTTAAATTTACGAAAATACATTTTTAGGCTAGCAATTGTAGCGCAAATTCTGTTTTCACAATCTTCTTGACATTTGCCACAAAGTTCACTCTTAGGTGGTTTATGAAACAAAAAAAATGTCGTCTTGATTTGAGCTCCCCCTTTTGTTTAATTATAGGACATATTTTTGTCTACAGCAACGAACGCAAATATTATTTTATTGTAGGTACAATTTTACATTTATGACCCCAACAAAAATATAAGAAGAATTGTCACATCACAGAGGCAATCTGGCAATATTTTGAGATTTTTGTACGAAAACATTGATTTTTAATGAATTTTTTACTTTTTGCCAGTTTTTTGTATAGTTGGACAAAAAGTAACTATTTTTTGTTAGAAAGTTTTTTTTAGGTACAAAGTAAATATAAAACATTTATAACATTCCACATGTGCCTATGGTGATCTGAGATTTTTCTATTAATTTTAGAAAGTAGCACTATTTTTTTATGAATATTTTAATTTTGACTGTGAGCCTTACAGTTATATTTACCGATTTTTCTTCAAAAAAGCTTTGAGTCTACTGATTTTAAAACAACATCATATTATTCTGCATTTTAACACTGCCATGTGAGAATATTTTGGTAATTTTATGATGATGTATGTATTTTTCATGATTTTTTAAAACATTTGGTCAGTAAGTCACAAAATGAAACTCATAGTTTTTGTTGAAAATCTATTAAATCTAAAGACATTATCAAGTATTTCTGTTAGATGTAATATTCTGTTGATGTATAGATTATTGTTTGATAATCTCACTCATTAAATCTTCACGTTCTTTAATAAGGAAACAGTGGAATTCCATTGTAATCACAATTGAGAAGTCAGCCATGCCTCTGACAGATATGTGTATAGGCTTTGCAGGTTTAATGACGTATCCTGATTGTTACTTTCATTGCTCCGGTTGAAGTGAGCTGACGGGACGCCGGCGGGAGAACGTGTTTTTGGGGCGGGACCGCGTGAGGACTGGCGAAGTTGAGGGCGGGGCGGTGGGCGACTGGCGCTGGGGGCTTGGAACCCGTTGATAACTGCTTGCAGTTCTAGTTTCAATATGAGTTTGCTCATGTTAGCTTTAGCTCATTGTTGCTATCTACAGCAGGCTGTGGCAGGGTTCTTTTCAACTGTTGTAATTCCTCTTTCAACCAGTAGGGGGAAAAGCGAGAAACTCGTTTAGTGTCGCTTTCACTGTTTGCAAACTGTTCCAGTGTATTTCGTTGTACTACAACTGGTTGTTACTCCTTTTCTTTTCTGTGTTTTAACTTTTTAACAATCATCTCTGCAGGATCAGATGATCGAGTGCTCTACATAGCCAACGACACTGAAATCCGGAGTTTTGTGTATCCCTATAACCAGAGCCATGGACACAAGCTGCTCACTCACATCGAAGACAACGCTCGCATTATTGGGATGGATGTTCTGTTTCATCAGCAAAAGTTCATATGGGCCACCCAGTTTAACCCGGGGGGCATTTTCTACAAAGATTCTCTTGAAAGAGGACAAACCAAATCAAATATTAGAAACATTGTAAGTAACTCTATAAATATTTGTGACATTTTTTTAATAATACATATGCCTACTCTTTAAGTAAACACTGTCTCCTTGCCTGCTATCATTCCAGTGTTCAGACTTCCGTCGTCCCAGAGATATTTCTGCTGACTGGATCACAGGCAACATTTATTGGACTGATCACTCTCGAATGCACTGGTTCAGCTATTACACAGCCCACTGGACTAAATTACGATATTCTATAAATGTGGGCCAACTTAAGGGACCAAATTGCACTCGCTTGATTACTGACATGGCAGGAGAGCCGTATGCCATCGCTGTAAACCCAGCTAGAGGGTAAGTTATCAACTTAGCAATTATCCTTTTCTTGCTGATTATGTTTACTCCTCGTGACCTTTTCAATATTATTAGATTCGTTCCAAGTTAACATATTTGTGAACTGATATTAAATGCAGCAGAGAAGCTCTGGTTTTACATAATGCATAATACCACCTTAAGATCCTCAAACTTTGCCCAAGAGTTCAGTGCTTTTGGAAAATAACTTGCATACGTTTATGGATATAACATCACCAGAGGAACATTTCATCGTGAGGATATGCACTGAGAGATGTGTTGTTACAAAGACTTTGACAATTAGACATCACCAAGGGATGCATATTTATGGCAAAATATGGTAAAATGGTAAAAGGTCTGTGTTTGTATAGCGCCTTATTAGGGTTCTACAACCCCCCAAGGCGCTTCACAACACAGTCATTCACACCCTGGTGGGGATGAGCTACAATATAGATGCATACTTTTCTGCATGGTTTTTTAATGCAGCATTATACTAAAGAATGTATTTCTCTTTGTCTCTTGCAGAATGATGTACTGGAGTGTAATTGGAGATCATTCTCATATAGAGGAATCCGCCATGGATGGATCATTACGCAGAGTCCTCCTAGAGAAAAATCTCCGACGACCCACTGGTAGGCATTTGCATCTTTATTATATCGATACGTTTTCCTCCCTATGATATCTTTTCTGTGGGGCTTTCTTACTGAAAGAGAAAATAACCATAATGTTTACTGTGTTTCTTTGTCTCTATCCTTGAGACTCAGAAATCTTGTTGAATGCATTTCCTGTGTGATAAAGAAAGTTGTTGGAATGTTTGCAAGTGCAGCGTTCACGTTTGTGTTTACATAACATGTGGAAAGCAGCGACGTATTCTCTGTTCCTTTAGTTAGTGGATTTGTGATGAATGTTAACTAGTAGTTGGATCAGATGTTCAACATATTTTCCCCTTGCATTATTTTTACCTTAGTTTAAACAGAAAATGTGCACGCATTTACGCGTGGAGGACACATCATTGTATCATTTTTGAATGTTTGTCTTGACTTGGTTACTCATTTTAGAAAGGAAATTGTGAGGTTTGCTTCTTGTGTCAAAGCTTTCTAAGACTGGAACATTTTTTCTGTTTATATTTACACTATTGTTACGTTTTTTAATACTCTGTGCATCTTTTGAATATTTGTTCCTGTGTATCAATCTTTTTGTTTGCATATGGTACTAAGGTGGGATATAATGTATTTAGTTATTTATTTGGGTGAACTATGAGAGTGATGTACGTATGCTCGAATGCTAGTTTTGTACGAATTAATATTTTGTTGGTCTTGCACTTAGGGATGGGTACCTTTGGCATTTGAATCGATTCGGTACTAATTCATGGTACCTAGGAATCAATACCGGTACTTAACGGTACCAATGTTTGATACTTTTGAGTGTTTATTATTTTAATTCTCTTTTATAATTAAATATATATTTTTCTCAATATATGACAATATTCGATAAATATCACAATAAATAACATTCAACTTTTTGTATTTTAACATTGTCCTTGTAGTTTTATAAGCTGATAATTAAACTGAAGCAAACATCTTTACTGTGAACTAAATTTACTGTGTATCTTCATTCCTTTTGCCGTCTTTTTCATTTGATTTTTCCTACTGGGAAGTTAGAATTTCCGAGGAGAAAGTGAACGCACCATTAGCTGATAACAACGGTGGCAATGGAAGCTAACATATCAAGCTAACGTTATCTTAAACAGTTTATTTAGCTGCTGGAGCAGATTAAAACGATGATGCCTCACACATAGATCGTTGTCACTGGTTTCATCTTCACCCAATCACCCGTGGCATTTAGTAAAGTGAAGCCAAACTTTAGAGCGCGTTCACGTTCTAGTTGGAAATTCGGAGTTCCGAGGAGAAAGCGAACGCACCATTAGCGAAACGGAAGCTAACATATCAAGCTAACGTTATCTTAAACATTTTATTTACCTACCGGAGCAGATGAGGATGTCTCACTTAGATCGTTGTCGCTGGTTTCATCATCACCCAGTTACCCATCACATTTAGTGAAGTGGACCCAAGCTTTAGCGTGCGTTCTTTCTACCATGCTGCTCTGTTTACAGCTGGCTCGCAGCGAGCGACGACATAACGCTCTTGCGCATGTGCAGCTGTCTAGGCAAGTTCTCGTTATGAAGGACGGGCACCGAAACGAGGCACCGTTTGAAATTACGTGAATCGGTGCTCGGTCGGTACTATGGAATTCGGTTGGTACCTTAAAAAGTACCGAATTCGGTACCCATCCCTACTTGCGGTATTATCTTTTTTTTTTCTCTGTTACAAACAGCACAACTGCTCAAAAATGAGATGGCACATTTCAAGAGGCGTATCCCTGGAAATAAATATGTTGCAGAAAATATGAGAATCAAAGTAGAGCCACAGTTAATTAGGTGTAATTTCCTGTTGTAGTCTAGATCTTGTGTTCATGCATGGACACGTACAAGATAAGTAATATTTTAGCCCTTTTGAAGTGTGCTTCTGAATAAAAATAGAAAATATGTGTGTTACCAGTTGTGGATAGCTTCCCGAAGGACCTCTGAATAAAAAGTCCTGCAGGATCGATGCGCTAACAGCTAGTTAGAGTGCAGCAGTTTTTAAAAAAGATCTAAAATTCTGAATTTCATTGTGGTTAATGTGGTCTTGGTTTGACTACATTTTCACATATGATGATGATACATCAAACTTATACAGCACTTTTTAGGACACTCAAATACGCTTTCATGCACTCTCACATTCACACACTGCTAGTGATGGTAAGCTACTGCGTAGCCACAGCCGCCCTGGGTCTGACAGAGGCGAGGCTGCCATTTGGCACCGTTGGCCCCTCTGACCACCACCAACACAGGCAAGTTGAGTGAAGTGCCTTGCCCAAGGACGCAGCAGCAGAATATCCCTGGCGGGAGCTGGAATCATACCCATGACCCTCCGATCATGAGTCAACCCGCTCTACCACCTGAGCTACTGCTGCCCTAAATATATGACACTTGCCAACAGGAAATACTTCTTTGTTTACAAGCTTGAATTTCCCCAGCAGGCATAAATCCAGGGTTCCAGTCTGGCAGGGATTTCCTAATGTCTTTAGAAATAATCATTTATACCATTTTTAGTAATAAAAGGCTTATAAAATGACATTTGAAATGTCAATAAGTGAACAAATGACAAAAACCCAGAAAAACACATGAGTCCTAGTTGCAGAAAGTCTAGCCATTAGCTTGTCAGTCCTGTTGAACATCGACATTTTTCCTCTAACAGAAAATGTTCAAGAAGTTAATAATTGTTTATAACTCTTAAACAGAAATATCTTTCAAAATGGGCAAACTATCCCTTTTAATGTAGAAATTGAATTTAGATGTAAAAAAAATGATTCGTAGATAAAAAATATATTAGTGAGAAATAGTTGACACCCTTGCGGTTTGTGTTAGTACGTCTATAGGGAGACACTTAGTGTTGATCTAGTTTTGAAGAGCTGCTTTGGCCTCCTTTAATTCCAGAGACCAATGCTCTGTGTTGGACACAGGGAGAGAAATTCATCATCAGAGTGCTCAAAGAAAAAAGGAAACTCAAGCCTATTTAAATGCGCCAACCAGGTGCTTAGTCTGACTATTTCACAGGAAGTGGAAGTGACTCATTGTATTTTTTTCCAATTGTAACACTTAAATTCCACCATCAGAACCTGTGGTGCACAGCTGTGATTTTATTTTCAATATAAGCACATTGATGTTTAAATGTTAACAGTGAAAAATCGAAACAGATTAAAGAGACATCGTCTGCAAAATCCTGTTTATTCTGCTGCATTGAATGTGACTTTTTTTTTACCTTAAGGCCTCCTGCATTGAGGGATTCCACAGTGATTTCAGTTTAATTTATCAGGTAAATAAATCACTTACTTTCATCCTCCCACAGGGCTGGCAATTGATTACTTCAACCAGCGTATTTACTGGGCTGATCCTGAGCTCTCACAGATAGGGAGCATGAGATTGGATGGCTCAGACCCCCTCGTGACAATCAGTGACAGACACGGTAAAGCCTAACGGAAAACTAATGACAAGTTGTTGTTGTCTTTTTCCTCTTTTTTAATTTAAACTCTTACTGTTTGTGATGCATGCCTGTTTTCTCAACTTCTTATCAAAAAATTGCAGATGTCTCGGCAGAGTAGGGACCGTGTGTGTCTAGATCAATCTGCTCATGAGCCACAGGATAAAAACTTTTAACAAAAATGCTGAAAGATTCACTTCAACATGTTTGCTTTCTTTTCCCTTTTCTGCACCTTTAGGAATCTCTCAGCCATATAGAATTGACATATTTGAGGACTATATTTATGGAACTGGTCTGAAACATGAACTTTTCAGGATTCACAAGTATGGCAAACAATCAGTGGAGTTTCAGTATTTGGGGATGGAAAGACCCACGAACATTTTCATCTCGCATCGTTACAAACAGCAAGATGGTAAGATTTATCAATAAAGAGGATAAAGTGTTTTTATCTTTTTGTGTACATTTATTTATAGGGTTGTTTATGTCTTTCACACCAAATTGTTGCACTTCATCCACCCATTATCTTCCACCAGTGGCGGGCGGTGCGTTCCACCCCTGGGCCTTCAGTGATTTCCTATTCAGTCCAATCTAATTTAATACACCTTAAAATACCATCAATAGGACATCACAGCTGGAGAAACCTCACACACACACACACACACACACACCAGTGGCTGGTCAAGACACATAATTTCCAGAGTCTTTAAAATCAAACTCGCATTCCCAATTGAGAGTAGGAAGCTGACCACGGATACCGTCAAATCTCAGAAATGAAAGACGGGTTTAAGAGATGAGACAATAAAATAAATAAGTAAAGCAAACACATTATTTGCATTTGTTTTGGAGAAAATTGTACCGCGAAACAATTGAACATGTTGGCGCAGCTGCACACACCACGTCATTCACAATATAAATTGCATAGAAACAGAACACACAGAATAATTTCATTTTGCCATTTTATTTCGTTACCATTTATTGATTATTAACAAAATAAAATGACAAAACATTAAAAAAATACTAATAAAATGTTTCTACTCACCAACATAAATGTCCAGCATGGATCTCCTCCTCTCCTGCTCATTAGAAAATAAAATCCATCCTTCTTTCTTTCCTCAGGAAAACCTCAATGGCTCTGTACAGTTTATCTGTGCGCTTCAGGTCCATGAGTGGATCCTTTTCTATGGACATGGAGGCTGAAAGCCGTGTCTGTCCGGTCGTGTTTCTGGCGTACGTTTTAACGTGCTTTAATGCTACCAAATCCATCTGATGCGAGCAACAGGCATTCCCAGCAGAATAACCTGCAGCGGTTCTCTGAAGCTGTTAGCCATGGGTACCGTTCATAGTTGCTTGCCTGAAAATGACGAACAAATCCTTTCCCCTGCTGGGACAAGCCAGCTAGCATTGGAGTCGGACAACCTGTTCTCACAAGATCCATTTTTTCTTGAAAGGTCCGTCTGGAAAATGGTGTGGCAAGTTAATCTGCAACCAAGTCTGTCTCTTCTCCTCTTTCAGCCATCATGTGTTCAAAAATACACCGATAGCTGCCTATAGATACAAATCTCTGTGTTTAGTTTTGATATTTTGCTTCATGCTGCTAGAAAAGTTCTAACTACTGCTCATCCAATCACAGGATGCGTTCATGTCAACTTTTGCGTGAGGCCAGCTAGCTGGCCTGGGCCACGCTGACTCGTGAGCTGATTGGCTATCGCAACTGGCTCGTCTCTGTTCACTTACAGCGGACAGTGGGCTTCTCGATTGATTCTGAAGGCCTAGAGCAACCTTAATCTGCCTGAAAACACAAGCTAGCTTAAATCTGATTGGATAACACCCAGCCTTGGTATTTTAACACTGGAAGCAGCACAGCCAAGTGGGTATAATAGGATATAAAGAAAATAGACCGGTAAACATTTTTTTTTATTTAAAAATAATTACCAAAGGGAAAAAAAATACATTTACGCTTTTGAGTATGTTTAGGCCAGCAGAGAAGGCTTTGCTGGCCCTGACTGCCCACCACTGTCTTCCACTTTTCTGGAGTCTGGTCGCAAGGACAGCAGCCCTAGCTTGGAGACCCAGACTTAGAAAAATCCGCAGGGCCACAAACGCATTAGGGAAGATGGACTGTAGACGATTTTTTTGCCCGAAAACGATCTTGGTACTGCTTATATTATATTATCTATATGGACTGTCTGGGGATTATTTTGAGCGGAGGCACAGAGCTCTGATCATTGATGCGCTCCAGACAGATGTGTCCTGAGCACGGCCGCAGTAACATTATCAAAGTGTCGCCACCTCAAAAACAAATTTAACACGCAATCGTTCATGTTGGCTCATATCCTTTCATGCTTTCTGTCTTTTATTAGTGTCTGATGCGTTTCGCTGCTGCGGAGCGAGCGCATCACCTGTTTCATCCTACGGTGACTTCACCGCACCGGTGCGGCCAGCGCACACTCCGCAATTTTTGCGGTCGGTAGATCTTTTAGAACTGCAGTTCAAAGGTAACTCATGAGGTGAAAATATGAAGCCAGGTAGCAATTTTTCTTCAGGATTGAGAGGAGATGCAGGAAGATAATAAACAGGCAGGACAGAAAAATAGTCAAATAAAACAAGTTCGTTTTTGTACCTGGTGGTAGCAACAAACAGACACCATTGAAGGTAATCAGAAGTGAGGAACAGAAAATGAAATGATTCTTTCAATGTTTAGATCAGCAGGAACTCTGAGAGGCTGCAGGAGCATCAGTGAGTTTGCGGCCGCTGTGAAGGGGGTAGGGGGAGAGGGCTGAAGCAGGCAGTAAAGATGCAAAAATGGCCGTTGTTAAAAGAAAAGTGTGTTAACTTAGAAAATGCGGGTGCAAGTTTAATTACTTGTTAACTTTTTTCTCCAATGTTAAGACTGCTGCACAAAAAAAAAAGACTGCTGCTCGCGTGGGCCCCCTTGTGGCTGTGGGCCCCTGGGCCTGTGCCCAGTATGCCCGTATTATAATCGGCCTTGGAACGGTTGGGCGAACTCCCATGCACCCTCCAGAACCCAGCTAAAAGTATAGAGCTGTTCCTGTGTTCCACGGCTTGTGATTATGCAGGAGCGACCCAGAAATAATTTCTTCAACCATTAGAAGCCACTGCATTTTTTTGCTTTACTTTGATATTAGGTAAAGAAGGCTAGAGGCTAGCGTTGAGCTAACAATGCTACAGCAAATTAGAAGCAAATAGTCAGCTCTAAAAATATCTCAAGCTGTTTTTTATTCAATTACCAACAACTCGATATTACAGTGAAATATGTGTGAAGTGAATAATGTGTCAATTGTGGCATTTTTTTTACTTTAATGAGTCGTTTAGACTAACAGCAAACTAACAGCGAGATGGCAAACAACCACACTTCCTCTAATGCCAGAAACATATTACTGTAATAAGTGTAGTAAGTGCTCACCTACCATAAAACACCCCAGAGTGCTGACACCAGAAATACGAATGTAATTGTCTACTTATCAACTTGCTGTGCATGACTCGTCTTGCTCGTCATCTAGAATCTTGTGGTGCTAATGTTATCAGTTACGAGAAAGTGATTTCTTTGTTTATAAAAATGGGCGGCAGGAAGCAAGTTTGATTACAGGATGTCGTTCGCACTTCATTCTTACATGTTGCGCCTTTAAAGGCTTTATGAAACAATTTATTGACTGAGGCTAACTCAAAAACATTAAACTGTGTCAGACTTAAGCTTCTACATTCTGAAGCGCACACGGTCAATAAAACCATGTCTGTACTCATGCTTGGTTTGTGTAGTAAGCCGATGTGTGTTATTTGTCACATCTGTGGTGTTAATGGTGAAAGAACACGAGAGAGCTCATTCTTGGTCAGTTTTCCTCTTACAGGGCAGCTTTTCCATTCCCCCAGAGGCTCATTAGTCCAGTTGTGTTCTGTGAGATGCGTACGTCTGTGGGCTGAGGATGCACTCAGCTCAAGCTGTGAAGTGATGGCTTGAAACTCTCAGCCAAAAAAAATAAAGGGAGAAAGCTCCCAACAACATTTTTAATGTGAATAAATAAATAAATAAAAAGCATTAATTTTCATTTTCTGCACACATTTAAAGCCTCCTGCTATGTCGTTATTGTTCCTGTTATACATGTTTTTTTATTGTTTATGTGATACAAGTCATTGGCCGACTCAACCCTTTTAGATTTAAACTTATCATTTAAAGTCATGTTCACCTAACGTGTTTTGACAGCTGATAAAAACAGCCAAACGTCCTACACCTCAATCAGAACGTTGTAAGTTTTGATTAAATGTTTCCATTGTTTTATTTGTCTGCTGCTGGCTGAATCAAGAGGAGCACTTGAAAAGCTACTAATCAATCAGATAAAAGAAAATCGTTGCTTCCTTCGAAGTCGTTGATTTTTCGCTGTGAGGTTCTATTTTTGATTCAGCGCAGCTTTCCCCCGGCTCAAAGAAAATGGCACTCGTCACACTGCAATTTAAAACACTTAAAATTAATTGCCTTTTTTAAAGAAAAGCAGCCCTATCCACAAACAAACCTTTCTAATCACAGAAAAATCTATCAGCTTTTCTTTTGTCTGTTTTCTCTCCTCAGCATCAAATCCATGCCTGAGAATGTCTTGTGATTTCATGTGTCTGCTCAACCCTACTGGTGCAAGGTGTACCTGTCCAGAAGGAAAAGTGCTTGTCAATGGCACCTGTAGTGATGTCAACACCTCAGGTATGCACATGTATGTTCCCACTGTGAGGACTGGCTTAAACCCTGTGGGCAACTAGCCGGGTATCCTGCTTAACAAAGATATTGCTCTACGGTTTAGCCTGTCGGCCACGTGAGAGTGAAGATGAACATCACCAAAATCTATTCTTTTAAAATCTCAGACTAAATTGGACATTTACAAATTTTACATTGTCGGTATTTGCTTGTGAACATAAATAACCAAGGTTTTAGATTTTACAACAACACTGTCCGCAAAAATGCTCTGCATGTGCAACCTGGTTTTACACTCGCTTGTTGTTCAAGCGTGATTACTGCAGGCAGAAGATAAGGATGACGAGTGGCTGCCAACTAGTTCCATGTCCAAAGAATGTATTTCAGCAAAGAGGACAACGATTTGGGGAGCTACTTAGAGCCCTGCACTGAAGCCCTAGGCCCTCGGGTCGGCCCGGCCCGAGGGCCGGGCTTCGGGCCAACGACTGTGTAATTACCTCGGACACTGGCCGGACCGGGCACCTTTATTTTTAATCAAATTCATAGAAAAAAAACTGAAACACTTGAACGCAGCAGCACCTGGCTGCTTCTCACGTACCGGCATCCGTTAGCTCAGTTAAGGTCTGTGTGGTTTATAAATGCACCTATATAAACAAATTCTCAAACTGCTGATTGAAACGTGTGCCCCTATTCTAATAAGCCATTTTATGTCCACTTTGATATGTCAGAAACCATTCGTTCATTCTCATGAAGACGGCAGCATTCTGTTTTTCTGTGAATAAATTCGCTCTGCAGTTAAAAAAAAATACAGCATTCATTGCTGGTTTTTTTCCAACTGAAGAGCGCATTTTCAGAGAGGCAGGTTAAATTTACAAACGCTTTATTAATTGGGGGCGTTTATTTAATCTGCGGCTCTGGAAATGCGCTCTGCAGTTAGAAAATTAGAATGCTGCTTTTTTTTCTAATTGCACAAGAGCGAATTTTCAGAGCAGATTTAATTTACAAACGCATCCAATTAATATAGTGTTCGTAAATTTCATCTGCCACTCGAAAAATACACTCTGTTAGAAAAAAAGCTAGCCTAGTGAACTAGACCAAATTCTTGCTTTGCAAAGTTTGGTCTAGGAACGCTCCATTGGAACCTCCGCAGCTCCTACCAGGACTCTGGCTGGCCAATCACAGCTCTCTAGAGGGGTTTCAAACACATAAAGAGCTGTGATTGGTCCATAATGGTGGGCCAATCATTTATTTAGTCTGGCTTTCCAGGCTAAAAAAAAGCTGCACTGAATGCTGTTTTTCTTTCTTTTCTTTTTTTATTTTTTTATTTTTTTACTGCAGAACGCTTCTCACAGATAAATGAGAACGCTGAGCATTCTATCACACTAAAACATTATGAAAGGTTAAAAAAAAAGTCGGGCTGGGGTTCTGGTCGGGCCAGAGAATCCTGAAAACCGTTTTGGACTGGGTCGGGCTGGGGCTCCACCCCCTCGGGCCGGGCCGGACGCGGGCTCAGATTTTAGGCCCGTGCGGGGCTCTAGAGCTACTGCCTCCTGCAGGCTAGGCACGCATACAAATGTGATGCACATTGCACAGGCTTTTTTTTTTTTTTTTTTTTTTTTGCTGAAAACAGGTGAAATGTATGGAAGCCCATTTCTGCCACTCTGGTAAAAAAAATAATTATATCTTAGCTATCTCACTATTAAGAAATAATATCTCATAATAATGAGATAGCTAAGTCATATTTATGAGCTACAAATTATTATTTTTGTCTGAGTGGCGGGGATGAGCTTCCACAGGAGTGAAACTATGCTTTTTTCCTAGATACTCAGTTGTTCATATACCCGGCTACATGCACACATAGCTTTAAATAATCAAAACTGTGATTTTTTGCACATGCTTTGATAACATAAAATAATTTTCTACTATTTAACATTCTGAAGAGCTCCAAAATCCTGAAGAGCTGATTTATATTTGAATAACTTTTCATAGTTGTCATTTACATAACTTCTCTGGTGCTCGCCGCATTGTGGAGGAGCTGTTGAGTGTGCCGGGGTTGAACACATCCACCCCCTGCATGGACTCCACTTCAGCTCCCTGCCTCTGCTAGCTGTTTGAACTCTAGCTGCACAGCTCTGCCAGATATGTGATGTGACTGCCTCACATTGCAGTTCAATAAGTGTTGTGATCTTTGTTGTTGTGAAGGCGAACTGTGCCGCCCCCCCTGCGAGAATGGAGGCCGCTGCTTAGCCAATGAGAAAGGGGACTGGAGGTGCTACTGCTGGCCCGACTTCTCAGGGGAGCGCTGTGAGGTCAACCACTGTACAGACTACTGCCTGAATGGAGGCACCTGCATAGGTTCACCACTGGGTACGTCACTTTTAAAGCACAATTCCCATTCAAATATGCTTTTTAATCTCTACAGGGTTGCAGATATTGAAGTGCTTTTTTATTACTACTAAAGGCTGTTAAGTATTCATATAAACATGTAAATGTATGTGTTTATGTTGCTTTATTTAAGCATCCAAGCCTGTATGGATTTGTGGTTTTTGTTCTGCCATCCTGCGGTGGAATCATTTATATTCATGTCTGCAAAGAAAACTGTCACAGCTCCAAATATTTGAAAGTAGGATGCCTTTTTTTTATTTCTACAGCCTGATCTAGTGTGTGATGACATCCAGACACATTTGTCTTCCTATAAATGTTTCCCTTTTCTCAGATCAAATTTCCAACTTTACATCTGCCACTTGAGCAATTTTACTTTCCCTTGCGGAACAAGCCTCAGATATAAACTGTGTTGCGAATCAAGGTTTCTTTTATGGCTTTATGAGCTGTAACAAAAAATATGGATCTACTTAGGATGTAAATGGTGCACCACCTGATACGAGCTGTTTTTGAGTTGTCCCTTCCCACTTTTAAAGTAGTGGAAAAATCAAAAACCATTTTTAATGATCATTTCTGATTATAATCAGTCACTCTTGAGTTTTTCATGCAGGCTGAAATGTGAAAATAGTCTCCTACACATATCTCCTGCATTAGCTTCTGAGAAAATAGACTGTGAACCTCTAGGATTTGAAAAGCCTGACCACTCTACATCAAGCGTTTGCTTCGACTCACCTGTCTTGGCTTGCGATGGGCAAGGCTGTTGTCGTTTTAACATCCAAGAAACAGCAGAAAATGTCTTGGCTAGCTGAAGCTAACTTTTAGCATTAGCAGCTCAACCACACGGCAGAAGCTCCTCCGGGCTTGTGTTATTTGCAGAGATAAAGCATCCATGTCACAGAGGAAACTGAGTCGGTTGTAGTTAGTTGTAGAATATGCTGCAGCAGACTTGTCCATGCTGATCCAGGCGCTTCTGGGCATTTTTTTCCCCTAAGTACGGCTTGCGAGGCATTCATTCCTACCAGAGAGCACTGCAAGTGTATTGATTAAACGAGTGTTCCGCACCTTTAGTGACCAGTGAGTGACCAAGGATGAGAAACAGAAATTCTCAGCTTCTGCTTTAGTGATAAAATATGGACTGAAACCAGCTCGGTATCAATTAGAGCGCGGTAAATATCCAGTTTTATCTGAACATACATAAAGTGTTATTGGATTTTAGCTCCTATGTCTGTAATGGATTTACCAGCTTTACGTGAAAAAAATCCCTGCTAAGCTTAAACTAATATTCTCATTTTGTTCTCACCAACAGATGTTTTCATTTCCACAAAAGCATGTTTTCCTTTTAATTTAATTTATTTATTCTATACTAGATAGCCTGTTGGTCTTTCTCCTTCATAGAAACCTTAATAGAGATGATTGGATCCTGAACAGCATCTTTGCACATTTTATCTTTACTGCAGTGATAAACCAGAAGTCCTCAAAGCCTCCCAATAGCATTTGAAATTTCACGCTGCGATTCTTTCTCCGTTATACTCCAGAACCTGGAAGATAACTCAAAGTGAAAGGTGTTTTACTTATCTGCCTTTTCCTACTTGATACCTCCTATTTTCACCCATTATTTTAAGGGAAATGTCTCGGAAGGGAGAATGTGGTTAAGGCACAAGCTCAGGTAACGATGTGTGACACAAGGCCAGGTAGATCACAGATTCTGTCCTGCTTTTAAAGCTATTTGTCAACATTTATCAGGAATTCTCTTTAGTAATGAGTGCAGAATGCAACATGAGGAGCAGGGATGAGGGGCGCCCTCGAGGCCAGGGTTCTGTGTTCAGTTTGTGTTTCCCCACTGATTTATTTGTATTAAATTACATTTTTACTAAAGAAAAAACCCACTATGTACATGTCTACTAGACTGTACTTGTTTTTAAATGCATTCCAAACTTGTCATGCAGCCAAGATTAATGCCACATTTCCACTGAACATGTAAATTAAACTCACCGAAGATATACACAAACAGGAATGAAAAGGAACAGAAAGAAATAGACACCTCCCATTAGAAGTCTAATTAATTACCTTATTTTAATTACATAATCTTTCATCTTGTCTTTAAATTTACCAATGTTTTAATTTTTATGTCTTCATTACAGGTATTCCATAACTGGACTCCTCTTTAGCAGATATGAAAGAAATTATAAAACTCAGTTTATAGTTTTTTTTATAGTGTAAATTTCAGTAAAAATATGCCATAAACAAATGTTTTGGGAAAAATGTTTAATGACTTTCTGCAACAAATTAAAAGTGTGGAACACTGAAAACCCATTTTAAAAATCTTATTTCTGAATACAGTAACTCTAAGCTTAACATGAACATGAAAATAGTCTCCTACACCTATCTCCTGCATTAGCTCTAGATAGAAAATAGACGGCAAAACTCTAGGATTTGAAAATCCTGACAGATCTACATCACACTGTCACTTAACATTCTTGGACTCACCCATCTTGACTCGTGACAGGGAAGGCTGTTGGTTTAGCGTCCAGGAAATGTCCAGAGAATGGCTTGGCAAGTAGAAGCTAACTATTAGTGTTAGTGACATCACCACACAGCAGGACTCCTTCAGGCTTGCGTTATTTGTGGAGATAAAACATCAATGTTAAAGAGCAAACTGAGTCAGTGGTAGAGTTGTGTTGCTGTTAGCCAATCAGAGTAGAAATGTTCAAATATCAGGAAATAAGACTCCAAAATCTGCCGTCTGAAGCTCAGCTGTGATGTGGCTCACTTCTAGTGGAAGGTGATAAAATGGTGCACCAGTGTTTTTTCCCCCAAGTACGACTTACAAGGCTTTCATTCCTACTGAAGTCCACTGCAATTGTATTGATTAAACTAGTGTTCCACACCTTTAAGACTGCAAACAATCTGCTTGATTTCTGGTTGCGGTTAAAATATGTCGACTTTAGACGTCCAGTGCTATCATGTAACGAAGAATTTGGTGTCACACCAGAAGTAATATTTTTGATCAATACAGGACAGGGTCTGAGGCACAGCTCAAGATGTTTAAATGAGCCAATTAGGGTTTCTCAGAGTTTTGGCTTTGGGTAGATTTCTACCAAAGTGTAAAAGTACTGTTTCACTCAGACAAATGAACAGTTTAACCTCACTTTGCAGCAACTTCATCATCGTGTGCTGATGTCTCACTCTCCGTATAATTGCTCATTTTTCACTTTTCCAAAAACTGCTGCAGGGTGTCTAATCCATTTACTACAGGCTACAGCAGCCTACCAAAGGAGAACAGATACATTTATTACACATTACTCATTATCTTTGTTGTTTTTGGATTGTCTTTTTCAGCTATTCAATTTTACATTTGACCATTCCATCCCACTCTTTCACAGGCACCTTTTTCTTTCAAATCTAAAATAATAATAATAATAATAATAATAATAATTTTTATTATTATTATTGTCAGTTTTCCATCTAGTGCTTTTCTACCTAAATCAATAAATTGGTAATATTTAAAACTATAAGATAAATATGTTTTCTTGTTTTCATGGCATTTTAAATAAATCCACTAAATCTGAACAATATATGAAATAGGAGATTCCTGGTTGTTGATCCCAACCCCCCACCTGACCTCAGTCTTTCAAACCGCTTCTCTCCACTTGCTGAGGAACAACCAGCTGATTCCTCCAGGCCTCCACTTCCCTCCCAATCATCTGATCCCATCCAGCAGGAGCCTGTAGTCCAAAAGAAGCAACCTCCGCAGTCCCCCCCCCCCCCCCCCCCCCCCCCCCGACCTCAGCCTCTGATGCCCGACCCAAAATACTAAAGGATGCTGTGTGTCGACACTCTGCTGGACCTCCTGCCCTGGCTCAGGAGGTGAGCTCCTCCACGGCAAACCCTCCAGTTTCCCGACACCACAGGAACCCAAACCCAGAATCCTCCACTACTCCACGGGAAAACAAATCAGGAGCCCTCTACACCCCGTCCACTGTTTTCACCTACCTCTTTGCTGGTAGGTGATTCAATAATCAGGAATGTTTTAATGTCATGACGAGATGTTTTCCATCAGCCACCATACCTGCTCTCCTGGATAAACTTCTTGGTCTGCTGTACTCCATCCCAGCTTCAGTTAAAAGAGTGATCATTCATGTGAGCACAAACGATGTTACACGCCGGGAGTCTGTCATCACTCAACAGCATTTTAACCATCTCTTTGACATTCTGAAGAGCAGTGGAATGTCTGTTTTCATCTCCGGCCCGATCCCCACAGTTTCTCATGGATATGGACGTTTTAGCCGTCTGCTCTCTCTCCACTACTGGCTTCAGTCCTGGCTCAAGCATGCTAACCGCTACCATCCGGTATGCTGTGCAGTCCCATAGATGTATATCTACGGTGGATTCCCTTCCACAGTCATGACGGTTTACATCTCAGAGATCTTCACCTTCTTCGGCCTTTGCTCAAACCTCCACTTCAAATAACATCACTCCCTACAGTCCTCCCATGATGCAACAGTCTTCTGTGTGTCTTCCAAAGGTCACAATTCCCAAAATGTTGTCCTCTGCTGACAAACCAAAAAGTTTCTCTATTCCAGTTCATTTATCAACCAGCAAAGATATAAACTGTATTCATGGCCGGAGAACCCAGAGCGCCAGATGTTTACGACCTATCCCTCTCCAACAGGTTACGGAGACAGATGTTCTCCAGGATTCAGTTCATTGTACCCTGTTGAATGCCCGCTCCATCTCAAACAAATCCTTTATTTGAAATGAGCTGTTCACCAGAGAAAAGTTGGACTATTTATTTCGTACGGAGACGTGGCAGCAAGATGGCTATTTTGTACATTTCAATGAAATATGTCCACCAAACTGCTCTGTGTTTACCACACCACGCCCGACACGTCGTGATGGAGGCCTTACTGTGGTCTTAAAGGACAAACATGTCTGTAATCTGGTGAAAAATGGCCCTTTTACAACGTTTGAATGCCAGGTCATCAGAGCAGGGTTACAAAATGTGTTTCACTGCATTTTAATCCACCGACCTCCCGGTCCAGCTGGCCTTCTTCTCTCTGAATTTGGAGAATTTCTATCATAAATGATCAAAATAGAAAGAGTTTTAATCCTTGGTGATTTTAACTTACACATTAATGATCCTAATTGTAGCACAGCAGTGGAGCTCATGTCTGTTATGGAGTCTTTTAACTTAGAGCAGCACGTTTCCAGACCCACACACAAAATGAGCCACACTCTAGATCTTGTTTTCTCTTTGGGACTAAAAATCAATCATTTACATGTTGAAGAGGTTCATGTGAGTGACCACAGCTGCATTTTCTTTAATGTCCTATCTAATGTTGAATCTGTCCCTCACAACCAAAAATCAAAGAGACGTATCATTAATCAGTCAGCAGTGGATGGATTTTCTAGATTATTTGACAGCAGCTCAGTTCAGGGTGATGATCCAAGCTTGTTTATCCAGTTATTGGATAAACAATGCTGCAGTATCTTGGATAAAGTAGCTCCTGTTAAGCAGGTAACTTTTTCTAGCAAGAGACAAAGTCTCTGGATTAATCAAATATTTACAGTCTCAGAAGGACACGCCGCAGAGCCGGGAGACGATGGAAGTCAACTAGATTAGAAAGTCACAGGCTGCACTTTAAAGAACTGATAATATCTCTGAATGAGACGGTGAAAACTTCCAGGGCCACTTACTTAGCTCAGCTGATTGCTGTAAACAAGAATAAGTCTAAAGTCCTGTTTGACACCATAAACCAGATTGTTTCACCTCACGCCCCTCTTATGCCAGTTTACTCAAGGTCTGACTGGAAGAAATTTCTAGCATTCTTTGATAATAAAATCAGAAACATCAGGGCAAGTTTTTCACCCCCATCTACTTCCTACCCCCATCCAACCCCCTCCCTCTCAATCACGGTCTGTCTTTACTCGTGTAGATCTCCAGGACATTTGCCTCATTCAGAAACACATGAAACCAACCTCATGCCCTGCTGATTTCATTCCTACTACCTTGTTAATCAGGATGTTTGACCAAACTGGCCCATGCATTGTAGATTTGATTCATTTATCCCTACAATCTGGCTCTGTACCATCTGTTTTCAAACATGCAGTTATTGAACGCCGGTGTGTCCCCGGCGTAAAACTTGGTCATTTATCCTCTGCCGTCAAGACAAACTTAAGGAATTTGGGTATTATTTTTGACCAATCAATGTCTCTTGTAGGTCACTCAAAAACATTGGTCCGAAACTGTTTTTATCATTTAAGAAATATCTCCAAACTGCGAAGGTTGGTGTCAAAACATGAACTTGAAATGGTTATCCATGCCTTTATCTCCTCCCGTCTAGATTACTGTAACATACTTTTAACATGTTTTAACAAAAACACCCTTGACGACCTTCAGTTGGTCCAGAACTCTGCAGCGAGGCTCCTAACTGGAGCAAACAGAAGAGCACACATCACTCCTATTCTAAAGTCTCTGCACTGGTTACCCGTTAACTTTAGAGTTCATTTTAGAATCCTGATTATAACTTTCAATACTCTACATGGTCAAGCTTCTCCCTATGTTACTGAACTGTTAAAGCCTTATGCTCCAACCCGAGCCCTCAGGTCCACACACCAGAACCTTCTAGAAGTTCCAAAGAGCAGATACAAAAGTCGAGGTGATCGCTCCTTCCACACTGCTGCACCCCGACTCTGGAATGATCTTCCTTTATCCTTACGCAGCATTGACAGTCTGGACACTTAAAAAACAGCTAAAGGCCCTTTTATTTAAAGCTGTGTTTACCTAAATCTTTTATTTTCTCCTCTTTTTAACTCAAAAATTTTAATCTTTCATCTGTTTATGAAATTTTATAATTTTATGACTTTATTTTTTCTGACGTTAATCTGATTGTTTTGAGAGCAGTTTGATTTTATGATGTTAATCTATTTATGATTTTATGACTTTGTTTTATTTTGTTTTGATCAGTGTGAAGCACTTTGTGATTCTATGTCTGTGATGAGTGCTATATAAATAAAATTTACTTACTTACTATAATATGTGAACCTTTTCAACCACTCTTCTTTAAAAGCCTTTCTTTCCTATTTAAACTATAAAGAGAAATAAAGGTGAATGATTCTCTCTTGGGATTTCAAAATCTCATTATCCCAACCACATAATGTGGATTATAAAATCCCTGACTAGCATGACCTACATGGGGAGACCTGTAACCATGACAACATGGTTGTCTATAATACAAGAAGTTAGCTATTATTACCTTTCTGAGTTCCCCTTAAATCTTTCTCCCGTTTACTGCTTGTGCATTAAAATACTAGAAATGTGTCATCATCCCTGAAGAAAAAGTAAAACATAAAAACTATTACAGGCTGCCTAGTATTGGACTCAGTTATGTGGATGTATACAAATATAGGGAAAAATTATTATATGAAACAAGCATTTATTTAAAAAAATCTGGGGTGGGACTCGATTAAAGATATTAATATAATTAATCAGAGGCTTTGTAATTAATTAAGCTCGATTAATAGAGTTTTAGTCTTTTAAGAAAATGTGCACCCAAGCCTTTATTTTTATTAAAAATAGTGTTAGCGAGGCAAAGATGAGAAACCCGCACTTTAATGAGTACCGTAATTTCAAGACTATAGAGCACACCTCAATATAAGCCGCACCTACTAAGTTTTTAAAAACACATGGAACTGTATGTACATAAGCCACACCGGGCTAAAAGCCGCAGATATCTACCGGATATCTACTGAATTGAAAACGTAGTTTAACTGAACGTAACTGAACTGATCAGTATCAAACAAAACAGAAAAGTTATTGATTAGTTTATTTATAGTCCTCCTGCGCACTGAAACCACTGAAGTCATCATCTTCAGTGTCGGAGTTGAACAGCCTCAGAAGAGCTTCGTCACATACCTTTTCTGTGGCGATGTCAGTGTCGCTGTCCATGTTGCTGTCATCATCCCCGGGTGAAGCTGGCTTGAATGAGTTCTTCCCGCTGCCGTCTCCAGCGCCGAACCATGGATTCATTCATGCCAAGCTTACGTGCGGCAGCGCTGTTTCCCTGCATGTGCTAAATTAAAATGAGCACTTTCTTCCATTTCCACTTTTGACTTCCACCTGTTTCACTTTCTGCTAAAGCACCCCCTGGCAGGTGAAGGAAAATCTTCAGTAAAGCCGCACCTCATTATAAGCCGCACGGTTCAAAGCGTGGGAAAAAGGAGTGGCTTATAGTCCGAAAAATACTGTATGTTTCTGTAACCACACAGTCTGTTTTATTATTTTGGTCTCATAAGAAAGGAAACAATTCTGGTGTTTGTTACATTATGGTTGCTTATAACTAAAGAACTGAAGGCAGATCATTTAAATTCTGCATCAGGTACCAAAACGAAACAGATTAACTCACAGATCAATAATTTGGATGAAAACATTGTGCTAACCTATCCAGTGTCCAGGATTTATTACTTGAACGTGACATTTTCTATAATTTTTCTGAAAATATCCAAAAGGGTAAAGAAAATACACCAAGAACAGGTGGGCATAAATCCAAGTGAGAAAAAGAAATCATTTTGAGACCCGATTAGAATGTTTCCAGAACACCCAGTTAGAAATATTCCATACATGTCTGACAAGGAATACAACTGTGGCTGGAATAAGAAAATACTGGAGCAATTATTTGGCTCATGGGTCGTGCCTGGATCAAAATTACATCAACCTGGAGGACAAAACTGACAAAAGCATACCTCAGCTGCTCTTCGTAGCTGCCAATCAGTCGTCGCCTTCAGCCTCACGTGAATACGGACGCATAATCCCACCACTGGAGCATGAGTGTTTTAATTCACTCTGACTCGACTGACTCACGTTTCCCTTTTGTTGTAGGACATGTGACCCTTATGGATTTTTAATAGTTACATAATTTTTAAAAAGGGTTCTGGAAATTCAGATTTTTTTTTCAGCATTTGAGAAATTCCAGATCATTTTCTGACCAAAATTTTTTATTGTTTTCATTAAATTTCCAGAAACTGTAAAGTACTGTGTAACACGTCACCGCGATTACTTTTCACGGTTTATCGGAGACAGACAAACGCTGACACCAAGACTGAAATAATAGACAATAATAAATGCAGTAAAATAAAAAAAGAAACATTTTAGTTTTAAACAAGGAAGTCCTTCAATACAATTGTTCCATCATCTGGCATCACCTACAACCATACTTCCTCTTTAGGCACTAGTCCGCTTACATTTTGTAATGAATCTAGGAAGCAAAAGACATCAGACTGTAAAGGAACTTTTTTTTAATCAAGGCCCAACTAGATCAAAGCATAAAACTAATAAAATGTAAAAAATTAAATTAACAAGAGACTAATGATCCCTTTTTCATTTTCTTCCAGGCAAGCCTACATGCCGCTGCCCTGCTGGATTCTCCGGGCCGTTTTGTGAGCGCAGGATCTGTGACAGTTACTGTTTAAACGGAGGAACATGTGACATCACTCAGGGGAACCAGCCCATGTGTCGCTGTATGGCCGAGTATACCGGGGATCGCTGTCTCTACCGTGAGTTCTGTACCTTCACTTGGTGGCAGGAAACACACAATATTGATCATCACTCTGCAGCCCTCATTTAAATGATTGATGTTTGCACGCAGTCATGAAAAGAATAGTCTAAAAATACTTTTGCTGCAAGATTTGTCACAGAACAAGGCACTTTTTCATGCACACTCAGTGTTAAACAAAAACAATTGTCTAAAGCACTTTTCTTTTCACTAACATCACATTTACTTCAAGTTGCAGCTAAACAAAAAACGATATTTGCCATCAAACAACCTTTGGGTGTTTTTGCACTTTTTCCTTTTTTTCTTTTTGTTTTTAGCAGCAGTGCTTTGAAATAATGAGTTGTGGGAAAACAATTTTAGTTGCACATCATTAGTATTTTCCCACTGTTCCTTGCCCAAGGGATGATATGTTTTTATCTGTGGCTAAGATGTGATTTGATGTGGATAATTAAGTCCCATTAAAGCCTTGTACAATTGTCATTCAACCAGCTTCAACTAAGTTCTCATTTCTACACTAACTTCTCTTTAAATGTTGCTCCGTGTGAGACAGACATTTGCCATCACTACTGCGTGAACTCGAGGGCTTGCACGCTGTCCAGCAGCGGCTACGTGGAGTGTGTGTGTCCTGCTAGGTTTGAAGGCAACAAGTGTGAGGTGGACAAGTGTCTCCGGTGCCACGGAGCTCCCTGCCTTATTAATGAGGAGACCGGAGATGTGGTTTGCAAGTGAGTTCTCTTCTTATGTCATCCATGTTGCAGCAATCTTTACAGTTCCTGTTCATTTACAGAAAACATGCACTCACAGTTCAGGTCACAGTTGTTGCACCCACAGCTGACTGACTTGATTTGATTAAATCTTTAAAAAACATGTACGTCCACACACCCTGCAGCATTTTAAGTGCTGATAATGCCACAGAAATACAAATCTAGGTTTTTTTTTATTTTAATTATGCATTTGTTTGACAAAATCTTGCAGACTTTTTAATTAAAGTAGTTTTTTTATTTTATTGCTTGTAACAAAAGTCAATTATTTCTTCACCACCCAGCTGCACAAATGGCAGAATAGCGCCGAGCTGTCAGCTGTGTGACGGATATTGCTACAATGGAGGTACCTGTCACCTGGACCCTGACACCAGCCTGCCTTTCTGTCAGTAAGTTGCTGCTTAATGGGTGAAAGAGGAAAATACAATCTAGATCTCCTGAATGTTCTCCATTCACACTTGGTTCCATTCAAATACTGGCTCTGTGCTCCTGAAAGGCTGGCTTTTAAAAGCAAAAGTGAAAATCATCAAGGGATACCTTTTTCCTTGCTTCGTGAACTCTACATTGTAAGTGTCTCTTTCTGGGGAAGAAATCCTCAAATTAAAGTAAGATTTGATGTCATTGTTTGGAGGCCATGGCACAGCAGGGGGCTGAGTGCCAGTACACCACCATGTGCAGCATGACACCTCACTGTGGCTTAAGGTTTCAAGATAGACGAAGATGGCTTCAAATTCCTTCAAAGCCTGCCATTCTGAGCATATCACGCTGTTCCTCTTTGCAGTTTAGAGCGTATGTCAGGCCTCTGTGACTGTCTTCAGCGGTTAGTTTTATACGTTTTTTTTCCTCTATCAGAAAAGGAAAAACTAAGTTTTATATCTGTGGTTTCACATGCTACGAAACAAAAAAAAACTTGTAGCAGACAAAAGCCTGAGTGGCTCGCGTGGGGGGAATCGAGATACTCACAGGGATTCTTAATAATGAATACGTTCTCGGTTATAATCCCATTCATTGCTGTTAAAACTCTGTCCAAGGAGGAAATTGGAAATCCATTTCAAAAGCCATCTGTCTATTTTTTAAATGCTCATTGTCCACTGTAGTTAAATTGAAATTTGCAGTCGCCACTCAAATTCTGGGGGAATAGAATCAATTTCTATGCTAATGATCCCATCTTATTCGATGAGGTTAACAGATCCTGATAATGCAGTTTATTATTTGCTCCAAAAGACCAGAAATTATGTGAGATGATGGATATCCTGGTGTCGAGAAACCGTATAGTTTGACCTTAATACTTTGAGTAAATGTAGGTTTCATCAATTCCTCCCTAAAGCGAAAACCTTGCAGAGACCAGCCGATTGAAATCCAAAGATACTCATTGCTTTAAAATAGGGATGCTCTGATCTGGGGTCTCATTTATCAAACATTGTGTAGAATCCTTACTAAAACCGTACTTAAGCTCAGCAACAAAAAATGTACTTACGCCAAGTTGGTTTGTGATCTATCAAACATGGAGTACGCACAGCTGCACTCAATCTCCGCTTCATAAATCAGAAACTATCTAGAATGTTTCTCAGCTGCTTTTTAGTCACATCCTGCCCTCACCACGCCCACTTACTGCCATAAATAGTGAATGCAAAGTGCCTTGTGGATCTCATGCATATACATAGGCCGGCTGTTGCAGCACTCCGCCAATGACGATGGCGACCGTAGATCAAGGCAGATCAAGGAAGCGTAATTTCACCAAAGCAGAAATTCAGGTACATGTGGGTGAGGTAGAGAAATGAAAGGAAGTGCTTTTGCAAAACTAAGTGAAAATCCACGGAGTGGCACAGCGATGCTGAAGCCGTCAATGTTGTGAATTCTTCAGAGAGATCTGTGGTGGATATAAAAAATGATCCAATTGGGATTCGATCCCCAGACTCCTGGGTGAAAGTCATGCACACTAACCAGTCACCCAAATGGAGATCTCCCTTGTTGAAGTAGCCAGCGTGCATGATCAATCGGGTCACAGTGACAGGACGCTTACACTGTCACAGACGCATGACATTCTGTCTCTATCTGTCCTCCTGCTGACATTCTGCATTCCGTATTCTGCGCTTCAGGCTGTGTGTGAGTGTGCGCGCACGTGTGTGTGCATGTGGGGGGTCTTGTTCTGTGTGAAAACGAAGCAGTACAAGTGATAATGCTGCAGGATTTCATATTTTTATCCTTCTCAGCAGCAGCACTGCAGGTGCTCTCCATGTCCAAAATGTGTATAAGCCAGGTCCTTAGCCAACTTAAAGTTACGCACATTTTTCCGCTAAATTTTCTTTCATTAATCCCAAAGTTTGCGTGGAAAGTTGCTTACGCAGTTTTCCGACCCCATTTTGTGCGTAAGCAAGGTTGATAAATGAGGCCCCAGGTCACTTGATCGTAAATCAGACCTGATCACGGGATTTTCAAACGAGTCCATTCGGGGTGGAAAAGATCAGATTTAACCTTATAAAACAACAAGCACGACCTTTTAAATTCATCCATAGATTCTCTAACTGAGTAACAATGGCTTAGTTTTAATTTCAACTGTTTGAACAACATCAGTCTTCATTGTTGCATAGACAACAACACCGTGACGTTAGAAATTTTAAGACGAGAGCGGATTGAGACACCATAGGTGTGAGCTGTTTGCCAGCAGGCTTAACACAGAGCTAACATGTCCGCTCAGCAGAGAGAAACTTTCCACAGTTGGATGTAATGTTTTGAATTTTGGGCATTTCATATGGTAGGAAGGACAACTGCGTTTAATACAATGAATCTTATACGCTGCCCTAACCCTTTCATGCATAATGGTCACTACAGTGGACAGGTACTCAAAATTGTTAATTAATTTATTTATTTATTTATTCATTCATTTTGCTATTAAGCACAGCTGTTGAAGACTTTATTGCATTTGAGCCCCTCCACTTGGGCTTCAGGAAGTCAAGCCAACATATTTCATGCTCTGAATGTACGCTGTCCACTGAGATGGGCATGTGATAATTTCTTTGTAAATTAAATGTTCCAAAAAATATTTGTTGAAATCGGTTTCATTCACACCTAAAGATAAATGAAAAAAAATTGTTAAAAAAATCAGGGTTGAAGATTTCATAATTCATGCATCAAAGGGTTAAAAAGAAAATTCTTCTTTCTCTTTTGGCTTTTCCTTTAAGGGGCCTCCACAGCACATCACCTGTTGTCACTGCATATCCGCCACCCTAAAACAAACACCCTGCTTAATACTCTCAGTTCACAGCAGCAACTCGGACAAAAACACGGAGCCAGCTGACACTGAAAGATGCTTTACAGAGAAAATGTGTAGATTTGACCGTTAATATCTGGAAATGTGTATCGAAATGTAAATGATGTCCAGGTCTTGAAGAATAGGCGTTTTTGTAACATACAACCATCAAAATTGGGTCTTAAGCACATAGGGAGCAGGACTAGCATCTTTGGGGTACGCCAAAGTCTGAGGGGTCACGCCGAAGTTGCGTGCTTTCTGCTCCACAGGTAACATTTACTGTAATGCTTTTTTAAGCCAGCGACAGTCACGGTGATATGGTGTAAAACTACTCTGAAATGTATGTCCTGCCCTCTAGCACCAGGTAACTGCACACTGCCACTTTAAAAAACAAAGAGAAATGATATGGACATCAAAAAGGTCACAGTCAAGATAGCTGCATTTACCTCACTGGGTGTGGTTGCAAACCTCCTGGAGCTGCGGTACGAGCTGCCTTTTTGTTAAACACTTTGAAATATAAGTGATTACTTTTGATTATTATCCCAATATTAACACTTTTCTTGTCAATGGGCATCCTGAATGAGTGATGTTTTTCAGCAGATGAACTAAAAATGCATAAATCCAGAAAGAAAGAAGTACTTAAATAAATGGAAAAGTATTGGATTGGGACTCACTTTCAGCAGTTTAAATGAATCTGAACATCATTAATTTAAAGACAACACTTCCAGGAAATGTAAACGTTTTGTTTTTCATTTGCTAATTTTTTTATGTTAACTAAAGGCACACATGTACAGTGTTTTTTTTTTTTTTTGTGGCTAAAATTTGGAGCAATATTTGCCATCTGTGTGAAATATCAGAAATAAGTAACAATCAAACATTTCTATTTCATGAAGTTTTTTCTGTATAACCTTTAATATGCACTCTTTTTATAATGGAGTCTGATTTAGTTGAGCAATAATTTGACTTTTTAACTACCTATGCTTCTTACAGAAGACTATAATAGACTGTTTCTTTACAGATGCCGTCCAAAAGCTGGTGATTAGTAAAGAAAATGTAATTTTCAGTTTATTTTTGCTAATTTGCCCAATGAGGACACAGCACTGGTTTAATTCAACTATTTGCTAAAAGCATTTAGTGAATTAGTCTCCATTCATCAACCAACTGTTCAACAACGTGCAATCTCTGGGCCCTTTTATCACTCCCAACACAATGTTTTGCAGCTGCACGTCAGGGTTCAAGAACCAACGTTGTGATGAGCTGGCCAACCCCTGCGATTACTTCTGTCAGAATGAGGGGATGTGCACATTAACATCTCTTAACAAACCTCGCTGCAAGTAGGTCCCTCTCACCTCTTCAGACATGTTCAAAGCCAACTCACCCCTCTCTCTACACCCACCCACCTCCACTCCATCCGACTTCATTTCAGCCTCAGTACACCAGTTATACCTTTTCCTTCTTGTGGCAACCTGTCACGTAATAAGTGCTAAATAAGGTAATGAGTTGCAATATAATTATAATTGTGTGAACATGCAGAAAATACCTGCTAACCTATAGATAAATCCAAACTAAACCATGTTAGAATTCAGAATATTTGTGATTATTGTGCTTTTACTTTAATTAGGAAAATGTATTTTACCAAGGAGTTTTAGGGTTAGTGAGAAATAAAGAGATGAGATTAACGTTAAAATACATTTTTTGTATTGTCTCAAGTGGGCTATTTGAAGAATGGTCTGAAGAAACAAACCCAAATGTGTAACTGACTAACCAACTAACTGTATTGTTCTGTTGTCTTTACTGCTGTAACCAAAGGTTCTGCATGCATTTATACAGAGTACTCTATAGAAAAAAGGTATATTAAAGTCAATGTGTGGTTTTCACTTTAACAGCAGCATCCACAGCAGAAGCCCTAGAACTGTTTTTCATATTTCACAATAAGAGTCCCAAAAATGTATGTCCAGACATCTGAAGCACACTGCTAAAAAAAAATAAATAAAATAAAATAAAAATAAAATAAAAGAGCGTATGTTGCGTTTGGTATGCTGGGCTGGACCAGTATGCTAAACCAGCACCAAAACACAACATGTGCTGGTCTATGCTGTTTTTTTTTCACTGCGTATATCAATAAAAATGCATGCATGAATGGATGCATATTTTTTTAACGAAATGCCTTGTTTTCAATAGTTTACTCAGTAAAATGTTGTTAAAATAAAAACAGAACAAATACAGTCAGATTTACTTCTGCTGACTATTCTTGAAAAGGTCCACTTGACTTTTTTCTGGAAATGTCTTCATTTATTTATTTTTTACTTTATTCGGAACGAAACTCTTCTTGACTGTCCAACTTTAATCTTGAGGCACACTTTATTCTATTCGAAATGCCTGAAAGGTTTCATATAGTTAGCTTTCAACAGGGCTTGGCTAGTTGGTCCCAATCTTATGCTAAGCTAACATCAACCGATGCTGCTAGTTTCTTAAATATTCCTCACGTCAAACCAGTTATAAATGATCAGATGCTTTAGATCCAGAGGATAGTCGTTATTGCCTCAGTTGTCCAAAATCTCTGAAGGTTAATCTCCTGCACTTAGGAATAGGCTTCATTACCTCCAGAACAGGTGCTCGCTCTTGTAGCATTTATTACATCGACTGCATGACTCAGCATCGGTGTTGCCTCCCTACTGCCACCCATTCACCCATCTCATGCAGTCCTCACTCTGCACAAGTGAACCAAGGGGAAATTAAAACATGGCACTGTCTGTGTAATGTAGTCATCAGTGTTTGTATCTGCAGCCTGCTCATGATTGGTAACTATCTGTTAACGGGCCGTAAACATGTTCAACTCACCAGTACAAACACCTCCAATTTAATTGGCTTGAATCTTTAAAAGCTCTAAAAGGCAAAAAGTTAGATTTAGTTTATTTCATGGAGTTTCTTTGCTTGGTTTATCCTCCCAAAGGAGATCCAACTCCAGGTTTCCTCCAGTTTCCCATTAAAATTCATGTCGCTGTGACATTTCGTCCTTACAAAGGCGCGATTCATTTCCTGCATCTATGGGGCTGCATTCTTATTTTTTGATGGCCTGATGTTCTGAGTCAGAGAGTGCTTGCAATTTAGAATAATTTCATCACCCTCCCGCACTCACTAGATCACTCATGCTTTACAGACCCATCTGCAACAGTGGTGTGAAATTAAAAATCACCTCCTCTAACAAGGGTCATACATCACCCCATTGGATTCCATTGGAACACAAATGAGATGACAGCTTGCTGTTCTTCTGTCATTTTAGGTTTTATTCACCGAAGATTTAACGTGGTACTTAACACACACTGTTAATGGACATAACATGGATGTACATAGTGATTTCTCTCTGCAGGTGGTGTGTTGTTTGTGTTGGATCAAAGCATGTCATAGTGAGACTGAATCATAATGTGTTGTTTCTGTGAGCCACAATCTCATCCTACACTCATTTTGCTAAAGTGGCTCCTCAGCAGTCTATTATATGTGAAACTAACCCTATTGATATCTATGCATGCTGTCTTCTGACCTCCTTCAGATGTTCCGCCAATTGGGCAGGAACGCAGTGCGAGAGACCCGCCCCTAAAAGCAGCAGATCAGACAATACCACAGGAGGTGAGAACCGGAACTCTAAACCATCCATTGAACATCTTCACACAAGAGTTGGTTAACTCTTTACCAACACAACCAGTTTTTATTCATTAAGTACATTAAAGCAGAAATCCAGAGTTTTTCTCAGAGGACACCATCTAGAGGTGAAAAGGCGTAGCACACCTTAAGACCCCTACTTGCATAATTATGGCTGGAAGCAATGCCTCTCGTTTGTGAAAGTGCGCCCCTAGCCAGCTGACAAAGCTATTTATTTTCCATCAAAAGTGTTGCCAGCTCTGCATCAGTCTAGGTACATTCACAAAAGCATGTGCACAGTCTGTGATTGACATCTGGACGTATTGGACATCCAACAGTATTTGGGAATTCTGAGCAGTGCTGAGTTAAAATTGCAAGATACTCTGCATGAAGGGGGACAGGCTTAGCAAATAATTGACATATTGCCTACATTACACAGTACAGGGTCAGGCTATCACTGCTGCGAATTTATAAATAAAATTATACATAATCCTTAAAAGGGGAACAACTCCTGATAGTTGTTTTAAAGGTGCAGTTTGTATGAATATCCTAAAAGTAATTTTGGAAGGTAGGTAATACGGAAACATAATTCATATCCAGCCGGCTGCAGGGATTGCCACTTTTTCCTCCTTTAAAACAAAGGAAGGAGGGACGTAACTACCGTTTACCGTAATTGAGTGTTAGCTAATGCTGCAACGCCAACAATTGTAATTTGTCGACAGGCGGTAAACAGCTCCAGAGTTGTTTAAAGTGGTAGCAGTAACCAAACCTTACCAGAGGAAGCTATGTTTTACTTCATTTCTATATAATGCACCTTTAAGCCCCGCTTCTTGCTTCCTTGACTAGAGGCAATGCCTCTCATTTGTGAATGTGCGCCTCTATAATTACAATAAAAGCTGGCATTCTTACATTATGCTGATTATTCATATAGACTGTATGTAATTTAAACTCTTACTTGTCCGTATGAAATGTAAAAAAGTGAAATGTAACCAACCCCGCAACTGTTGGTTACCACAATAAAGAACGCGGAGGTTCGTCAACCATTGAAGAAAGAAGCCACGATAAATTCTTCGCCAGACTTTGAGGCACTTTTTTGGCAAGTTTAGTCTTCAGGCTTTTCTTTACTTTCATCTTTCTTTGAGTAAAGGGATGTGGTATTTTTTGTGGCTGTGAAGGCAGTTGTAGCTGCACCGTGATTCGCTGTCTGGATAGCACCACTCAGTCTAGAAACGTCCGCAAACGCACACGTTGATGACATCTGTCCGTATTGGCTAATGCTGAGCGGCAGTCAACTCAAAGTGTGTGTGGTTTAAGGGGCGGGCTTAGCAAAAGAAATCTTGATGTATTGCTTACATTATATCACAGTACAGGTTAATACTATCACTTTTATAAGAAATATCATTCCTGATAAGAAGAAAACTCTGGATTTCTGCCTAAATGTAAGGTATTAATAATAATAATAATAATAATAATAATAATAATGTAATAGTAGAATATTTATTTTGGGTGAGACAGCAGGGTAAAATTATTTAGGATTTCTTTAAAATCTATTTTATTATTAATTAGTATTTGTTTTACTTTGTTTAGTAGGTTTTTTGTGCCTCTTATTCAGTTCATGCTGCGATAAGACATGGGGACAAAGATGTGCTTAAACGATATTCACTTGCCAATTAAAATGTTATTAAACTGAATTTGCAGCCAGAGAGATGCGTTTCTTGCACCATACTTGGTTATTTACTAGGGAACTCAGACAAAAGAAACCCCAGCCAAATGAGCCAGTTTGCAATGTTTGAACACAAAAGCCTTCAGCCTTAAGCGTGTTTACCTCATAAAGGAGCTGCCGTTGTTTGCTCGTGATGTTTACAGGTTTATCTTCTAATTGAGTTTTTGTAATGGAAGAAAATGCAACAAAATATGTTTTAATATCTCTGAATGTGTTTCATTATGTATTATTAACTAGTTTCATCTATACTGCACAGGTGCTCACTGCAAAAACCAACCTGCTTAATACTAGACAAATACACTTTTTTAAAGTAAATAATAACTAAAAACAAGAGAAATGATCTGCCAGTGCAGTGAGTGAATTTTTCTTACTAAGATTTCTTGAAATAAGAATAATATCTAGACTTAAACAAAGCTAAAAGTAAGTGTTTTACACTTATTCTAGGCAACACACAAGATAATTAAATCTTAAAATAAGCCTTACATGCCTATTTCAGGCAATGGAACATTACAATAGAATCTTAAAATAAGCTGTTACCAGTTGTTCTAAGCAAAAAACTGCTGAAGTTAAATCTGCAAATAGGCACAAAACACTTTCTCTAAGGAACAAATAAGGCAAATAATCTAAAAACTAGTAAATTTAATAAGTTTTTCCTGCTTTTTACCCTTAAATTTAGCAAATAAATCCTAAAAGTAGAGCTATAAGATTATATTTCTCATTGACTAAATATAATAAAACTGAAACGGAGCAAGTGTCAAACTAACAATGTCTGCAGATATTGTTATTTATAAATAATAATGAGAGGTGACGTTTTTGCAACGTTGGAAGTTATCTGAACTCGCCATACCCTTTCTTTCTGATCATTGCTCAACATGATTTCTCCTCTGTTCGTCCTACAGGGAGCATTGCTATCATTGTGCCTCTGGTGCTGCTGGTTATCTTGATCGTGATGGTGGTGGCAGGTGTTTACATCTGCAGACGGAGGCAAAGGTACGTGGATAAAAAGATGAAAATTAACAGAAGGCTTCTAAGCAGCCGCTGATGGTGGGAGATCAAACCGTTCACAGCTTTAAAGATGAATGCATTTATAAATGAGAAGTTTGTGTGTTTGCTTATTCATGATGACTAACACCGCAAACTTACGAGTAATGCTGTGCAGCTCGTTGTGTGGAGCTGTACAGAACATTGACCTGGATGTTGTGTATCATGTTAATGATGCTTGGCTCCACACACACACACACACACCTCAGGGGAAAACGAGTCCAGAGGCAGCCCATGACAAACGGAGGAATAAACGTGGAGATCGGGAATCCGTCATACAACATGTATGAGGTGGACCACGATAACCATGCAGATGCAGGCAGCCTGCTGAGACCCAACTTCACACTGGACCCTCAGAAGGTGGGCTGGCCTAATGAATTTGATTTTCTGTATAATTAGCATCTTTTATGTAAAGCAAGGACATTTTAATAGTCAAAAAAGGTTGGGAAGCTTTTCTAACCAAAGAAAATTGGTCGAAACAGATTTTTTAAAACTGATAAAATATCAAACTGTTTAGCTTTTATAATGAAAGCATGTATTTTCCTGCTACATTACCTTGGTGCAAACCAAGGGTGACAAAAGGTGAAGCAAATGCAGAAGTGGCAGAATGTGTAGTTCCCTCCTCATCCACCAGGGGCTGGCTCTGCCAACTTCACAGCAGAAATAAACGTGTTTACATTCTGGTACGAAACATTTTAGCTTTTATAGATCACGTTTACTGTCATGACAACTCTGAGTGGGGAGAATCTTTTGTAACTCTTCCATTTAGGTGTAATTAAATGTAGAAGCTATGAATAATTAGGTGCATGTCATTTTGATTGACAGGTTTCAGATAAGCCATAAACACTAGCAGCCACCCCTCTTCTTGTTCCAGGGAAGGCCTCAGCCTCACGTTAAAAGAGGGCAGCAGAGGCATTTATTCGTGGTCGTCTGGCTAAAAGTTCCCTGCTACGTCCGTTAGCTTTGGTTAGCTCCGTTAGCTCATAGCTACATCATATCAGCGTTTGTTAGGTGTCAGTCATCTGCATGGACGAATGGGTCAAAATGCTGGCAGCAGTCTTTGGTATGTTCTTACTGTGTCTAGTTTCTAAGTCCATTTTTGGTTCTTTTTTAAAACACAGAAAAGGGTTAAAAAATAAAAAAAAATAAAACGTTTCTGTGTTTTAAAAAAAAAAGAACCAAAAATGGAATTACCAGCAGCAGTGTGTGAAAACCTTGTGAAGACTTACAGAAAGCGGTTTGGCATCGGCAACAATGGGTATATAACAAAGTAGTGAGAATTTCTAAACAAATTCCTTAAAACAGGTCTCATCTTTTTAAATGGGAGAACACAAAACATTGGAGGCTGACTAAATACATTTTTGCCCCACTGTAGAAACTCAAAATGGTATAGTTGATGTTAGCTATCTGCTATGAATATTTTCAATATACTCTGCCATGATTTTTTTCCCTCTTCCACTTTCCTGATGAATACCCCTAATCAGCTGTAAATGTTGCATATTTACTGTGTTTAATATTAGGAAAATGCAATCAATTATTCAGCATTTTTATATTTTAAATGGATGAGCTGTTATTCTGCCAACTCTGAGTAAAATTATCTAACATATTTTAGCTTTTTGACAGATTTAGTGATTATGAGCTTGAACAGGTGCCTTGAACTGGGATGATTTTCCATTTGTTGGTGATTTATTGTGTTTATGGTTCTCAACCCTTCTCTAACACTCAATACATCAAAATAATCATAACACCCTCTGGTATATAGCTCACCTGCTGGAGCTCTCAGCCTAATCCTGTTGCTATTTGCGCTGCCAACTTTGACATTTGCTGTTGTGAGTACTGCCTGGCTGTTCTGTTAATCAAGCTTTGCTGATTTAAAGCCAACTTTTCTACGAAGGTTCATGATTCAAACCCGGGTTTTACAACTGTGGGCGTGCCAGCTGGACTGATTATAACGTTTGAACAAAAACCAAACTGTGAGAATCTTATATGTGATATTAAACAAAGGTGGCTCTTGTTTTGTTGCAGGGCTGGTGTGTAAAATCCAGTGACCCCAACAACTTAAGTATGAACTCTATACCCAAGGAAGTTATCCCTGGACAGGTGATTTTTTTTTGTACTCTGATTTTCTAGAAATAAAAAAATAATAATTTACTGACTCTAAATGTTTCAGACTAGTAGTTTTTAAATGAGCTCATATTTATTTATTTATTTATTTGTGAAGGTGTAGGGTAGGGGTAGGCATGCTTTAAAAAAATATTTTTTGCTAAATTAATTTTTTGATTGTGACTAGATATTCTAATTAGTGTCGTGTCAAAATGAGATTAATATTAATTAAATAGAATTTGGACCAGAATTGTGATTGCATCTTCTAAATCTTGCTTGCATGCTTGCTGAGCAAAAAAAAAACAATGACATGCATGACTTTTTTCTCTTTTCAGAAGGTCAAAGACTTGTTTAACTTTCCATCGTTTAACTGAGAAAAAGCCTCCGCTCACTAATAATTATCTTTTTATTATTTTCTGAAATCTATTAGAGAATAAATTCCTGACTCTCTCCGCTCACTCGCTCACCGCCAGGCCAAAAGAAAAGTCTCCACCTGGATTTAACTAAGCGAATAGGTAGAAGCCTCCTATTGGATGATTACTGCATGGGCGATTATCTTTCAGCTGCAACCACTTATTTAACCCCAACTGGTGCAATGAGTTGCTTCTCATTTCTTAAACAACCATGTAGAACGATACATCTGGTGGTCGTGGAAAATGGACCTTAACCCCATTGAGAATCTTTGGGATGTGCAGGAGAGGGCTTTGTGCAGTGGTCAGACTCTACCATCATCAATGCAAGATCTTGGTGAAATCTTAATGCAACACTGGGTGAAAATGCAGAAGCTTCTTAAAACAACGCCACAGTGAATGTGTGCTGTAATCACAGCTAAAGGCAGTCCAATGAAATGTTAGTCTGTAACCTTTTTGTTTGGTGGTGACTTTGTTTTGGTCGTGCGGTGTACTTTGGCTAAATCTTTTTAGGTTTTGCAAAACAGCTTCTAAAGTCACACATATTGATTTTGTTTGTCTGCGAGGTGCAGTAGGAAGCTTCTTTCAGCAAACAAACTGATAAACATCCCGTGTTCAATTCCCTCAGCACCAAGCAGGAGCTAAATGGGAAACACAGAAGACCCACATAGATGCTGAAAGTGCTGAAGATCAAAATTAACAAAAACAAAAGAGGAAATTGGACTTCCCGGGGGGGGGGGGGGGTCAAGACTCTTAATTGGTGGGTTGCATATGATGGACTTCTCTTCTACATTGGCAACTGTTTTCTGAAAAAAACTTCTTCACAGTTATTTATTCATGCAGCTTTAGGTTTTAGTTATATTTTCTCTAAAATATGCATTCATATTCTTGCTGGTAACTCTTTCTTTTTCCTGTCTGCAGCCCATGAACTACTCCAACCCAGTGTATGCAAAGATCTACATTGATGGGCAAAACTGTCGGAAGCCAGTTATCAGTATCGATGAGAGGAGAGAGCTACTCCCAAAGAAACTAGAGGGGACAATTCGTGAAACCGCCGCATAGCCTAACTTTACACTTTTTACTTTTTTCTTTTTTTACCACAGTGTACATTGTAAAATACGAAGGAGGAAACAAGATTTTTCTATTTCCTACGAGGTTCCTGGGTTTTACTCGTTTAGCATCAGCATAATGTCTTTGTTTGTGTGTCCCAGAGTTTTATTTTACATAAAAACTGTTTGCTTTCTATTTTTTTTTTGTTAAAGATAAGTTAAACAGCACTATATTATATACTGTTCTAAAGTAAAGCTGCTGATTTGCAAAAACTTGATTAACACCATAAGCCACTCTTGTACACAGTTCCGATGTTAAATCCAGTGCTACAATCTGTACCCATAGCTGACAATAGTTTAAAAAAATAGGAAAATATGTTGTTCATTTCCTGAGCAAATGGATGTAAAGTGACAGAGTTACATGATTTGATTTTATTTCTTTTCTATATGTACTCGACGGACCACAGAGCTTCACAAATGAGCTTCGGAGCTTAATATTTCTGAGTTATCCTGTTTTTTTCGCTCTGTATCTGGTGGTTTTAGTCATTTTATGATCCGTGTCATTTTACCACACAATATGCACTCCCACCGCTGTTATGTCTTCTCCCAGTTTCAGAGGAAATCTACCACATGAAGCATGAAGCCCATGCTGAATGTTCATGCGTTATATTCCTGTATTGTTCACAGAGGACAGATAATGAATACCATATTTTTCTAAGTCTCATATGTCCACAGATGAACTGAAGATATGAACAAGGAAGAGATTTACCACAGTCACAGAGGTTACTAGGAGTTATTATAAAACACGTTTCTGCAGACGAAGATGATAGATATAAGAAATTTTATAATTTTGTATTTGATTTGTATGTCGTTTGGCTGCTTGTATTTTGAAGAAATGTAATAAATGTAAGTAATTTTTATATAAAATGTAAATCAATATTGAATAAAAGGGGCTTATTTCCATTTGTTTTGCTTTTAATCATTACTGATATTTGCTTACCTATCCATCCTTTTTCCTCTGCTTATCTGGAGTCAGGTCGTGGTGGCAACAGCCTAAACAGAGAGGCTCAGACTTCCTTCTCCCCAGCCACTTGAGCCAGCTCTTCTGGGGGAGTCATAAGGCGTTTCATGGCCGGACGAGAAACATAGTCCCTACCAGCATGTCCTGAGTCTTCCTTGAGGTCTTTTCAGGGCTTTGTCGCTTTAGGAAAACAAGCAGGACCTGGCCACGCCCAACTCTCCCCTACTCAGGCTGCTTTGTGCTAAGAAGCTCCGATATGTGGGAGGGGCCCATAGTTGAGCCGCTACTCTTTAAGCAGCAGCAGCCCTGTTTTTCACAAGATATGGTTCCATTCGAAAAAAGCCCCTATGTGTGACATCACAAATGGGGACTTTTTGAAACTGCTCATTTAGGCACATCATTCTTAACGTTTGGAGTGTTAAAAGAGGCAGTAGAGACCCACGTGGCAACACAAAAGGATATAAAAGGTAAGTTTAGAATATGCTCTCTTTAGGTGATGGTTCACATAGTAGTTAAACACAGAAAAAAGGGAAGATTATTTCATTTAGACCTGAAACAGTTGTTCTAGTCAACGATCTGACAAGTCAACGTTCAGGTGGCTGGAAAAAGTCTTATTGCACTTTGTGTGTTCAGAGAGCCCAGGAGAAGGGCTCCACCTGCTAAATGATCATTCCGTCAGCTTTTTCTTTACCTAAAAAGACTATCCCTCTGCACATTTCACCTCTGTCACCATAGCAACCAGAGGAGGAAACAGCACGTCTTCTTTCTTCCAACCATCTCCCCTGGACAGATAGGACGTTGCATCCTGATGATGGTACAGCACCACACTTCCCACTTTGTCCTTCACTGTAAACGTCTTTGTCAGTCAGAAGTCTAACGAGCTTCCAAAGTTATTCCATTAAACCATCTGAGTGTTAGATGACAAGAACTAGCATCCTTTTGTTTTCATAGGCACTCACTGCCTTTTGTGGAAATAAAATACTGAGAGGCTGGAGTCTCTGAAAGTACCTTCAGTGATGTTTTGGAAAAATTGAATAAGCTTTTATTTTATCCTTGAAAAGATTTTTTTCCCATTCAGCTTGGGTCAAGTTCAGTTTAATAATGCCATTTCATAATGAAAGATGATTTGCCAGAATCGCATCACAGTGGTGAGAACATGTTGAATTTTGTTGGTTTAATAATACTTTTTCAAGACAGTGACATTATCACTATCTAAGGGTCCTGATTGTTGATACCTGCTTTATTTTCTTCATCCCAGATAATGATTTTTTTTCTGGGATCCTGAACCTGTTTCTACAGTTTAATTTTAGAAACCTTTTATTTAGTTCGGGAGAAGCTTCTGGTCCCTGCAAGCAACAGGTGGTCAACTAAAACTCATCAGTGAGTGTCTGCAGAGTCTGAAATATTTCAGAGCAAGTAGAGCATCAGCAAAACAGGATAGTGAACTAATGAATATAAAATTGCTCTGAACGCCCACAGGCTTTTTTTATGGATTCCAGTGCTGATGAGCCAGTTCTGTACAGCCATTTAAGGACCCTTTGACAACGATTTATGTGATTCCACCCAGTTTTATGCAGAGGTCACATTTTTGCCTTTTCTTATGAAGGAAAGTTACTATTTTCAGCATTTATTTCAAATTTATACTAAAATTAACCAAATCGGCCTTGAATCGTGTTACACACAATTAATAAATTGTTTGGTGGGTCTAATGGTTATCTTGTAAAGTGTTGACCAGTGGTTGGACGGCTTGGGAACTTGCAGTTGAACGTTTTTGACCCACTCCACCTTTATCGTTGCAGATGTGCTGTAAAAGAACTTATTCATCATCATCAAGAGCAAATGTTTCCAGGGCTTAACAAAGGAACACGGAGAATGGCCAGTGCATTTGTCCAGGTCTCCCTAGACTGTTTTAAAATCATGTTTGTTGAAATAAATGTCCAATCCAGCCACAGTTCCCACAACCTGTTACATATTTAATAGTTTTATGATTAACAAAGCTCTGGAAAAGTGAGCAAAAACATTTTGCTGCTGTCGTCAGTGACCCCATTCCAGTCACAAACCCTCAACCGGTGAAGATCTCGAACTCGACATTCACGGAAATATGACAAGTTGTCGATCTACGCACACGTGACACCTAAAAGTGCTTCAAAAGAGGAGAAAAACTGGAATTTGAAATCATGTCATGCACTAAGAGATGCCGGGCACTCCCCCTCCCTTCACCTTGTCTATTGATTTTTTTTGTCTCTTTCCCACTTAGCAAGCATCACCATTCTCCTGCATAAACATCAGAAAAACCCAGAGGGCTCATCTCTTGGACAGAATCAATAACAACAGGAGTCGTATTCACGTTATAAACAAGTCCTGCATACACTTGCTACAGCCTGCACCAAGGAATGCTGCTTATCACTCCGTGTGCGGTGAGCGGGCTGGGAAGCAGAAACTACAACAGAAACTAATCATGAAAAAAAAAACAAGCTGAGGGGAAACTTCGGCTCGATAACTATAAGCAGTAGCATCTCGTCAGGTGGTTTGAGTTTAACCCATTTATTTAAACCTTTTTCTCATAAATCCTATTGAGACTCATGCTGATTGACAGCATGAAGGAAATGTGATTCAGACTATCTACGATGACATCACTGCTTGCAGTTCTTTGAAACCAAACTAAGCTAAATGCTATTTTCAGACAAATTATTGTGGGTATAAAGATGGAGCATTATAGTTTTGCACGTAGATCATTTAATTTCCTTAACATGGACATGTTTAGCAAAATTCCTCCTTTTGCTGTTATCTGGATCTCCACTGCCGCTATAAGCACTTCATATGTGGAAAAAAAAAACATCTATCCTTTTTTGTCAGTGCGTGGTTTAGGAGTTATGTGCCTAAAACACGCCATAAGTCCCTGTTTGTGATGTCACAAATGGGGAAGTTAGCATAGCACCCCATGACATCTCTCCAGGATGGATGAGCAGCAGCTCAACTCCCGGCCCCTCCCTGATATCTAAGGTTGTCAGCTTATAGCAGCCTGATTGAAATGGGGTGGGCGTGGCCAACTACAGCGTGTTTACTTAAAGTGATAGAGCCCGGAAATGGCTCATTCTGGAAGGTACTGAAAATGTCAAACATTTTAAAAACTGCTGAAATTGCTTTATGTTAGAGGGATTTAGCACAAAGTCTTTCATAAACATGCTTAATGTCAACCACAGAACTATCATTTAAGTTACAATAGGTCTTGTTTAAACTCGTCAGGTAGGCACTGACTAAACTTAAAGTAAAATACAAAGTTTTACATTTTTGTTGTGTGATAAGAGTTGAATTAAGATAAAGACAGAGTGAGGCTGGTGGTTTATTTATGGTTGTGTCTGTTTGCATGGATCTCTCCTACTGTAAAGTTAAAGCTGTTGTATATTTAACAGGAAACAAGGTAGGTAGCTAAAAGTAGGCCACTGACCAACTGACCAAAAACAAGCAATACCTTCGCTTGAAGACTGTAATTATTTTAAACACTTTTTTTCCTCATCAAATAATACTAATTATCCACTTGACTCAGCCTTTTTCTCAGATCAGAGCTAACAAATGTATCATAATTTATAAAGAGATGCCAAACTGTCCAAAAAGTCTGAATATTTTAGGAACTGGTAGGTTTTTACACATGATGAACCCAAAGTGAACACATAAATGTTAATTAAAATCAACAATTTCCAACAGTTACAATTATTACCAAGAAAATATCTGTATTTGAAAATATTTTGTAAAGCTTTTATGTGAAGACTTAAACAGGAAGTTTGGTTCTTTCTCTGACATTTTCAGCTGCATTTTTAAATGCAACTACTAAAGAAATTAGATTCTTGTTCAGTTTTAAGATCTTGTAAGAGTCTACACTGCAATTCACTTCAGCTTTTTTAATGCAATTGCTAGCAACAGTTTTAATAGTTTAAATGCAGATGATGAAACTGGTACTATAGGAGAAATTCATCCATCCATCCATCCATTTTCATCCGCTTATCCCGAGTCGGGTCGTGGGGGCAGTAGCCTAAAGCGAGAGGCCCAGACTTCCCTCTCCCCAGCCACTTGGGCCAGCTCCTCTGGGGGAATCCAAAGGCGTTCCCTGGCCAGGTGAGAGACATAGTCCCTCCACCGTGTCCTGAGTCTACCTTTAGGTCTCCTCCTGGTTGGACGTGCCCGGTAAACCTCACCAGAGAGGCATCCAGGAGGCATCCTGACCAGATGCCTGAGCCACCTCAACTGGGTCCTCTCGATGTGGAGGAGCAGCGGGTCTACTCCGAGCCCCTCCCAAATGACCGAGCTTCTCACCCTATCTCTAAAGGAGAGCCCAGCCACTCTTTGGAGAAAACTCATTTCAGCCGCTTGTATCCGCGATCTCGTTCTTTCGGTCACTACCCAAAGCTCATGACCATAGGTGAGGGTAGGAACGTAGATCGACCGGTAAATCGAGAGCTTCGCCTTCTGACTCAGCTCTCTCTTCACCACGACAGACCGGTACATCACCCACATCACTGCAGATGCAGCACCAATCCACCTATCGATCTCACACTCAGTTTTCCCTCACTCGTGAACAAGACCCCGAGATACTTAAACTCCTCCACTTGTGGTAGGACCTCATCCCTGACCCGGAGAAGGCATTCTACCCTTTTCCGAATCAAGACCATGGTCTCAAATTTAGAGGAGCTGATTCTCATCCCAGCTGTTTCACATTCGGCTGCGAACCGCTCCAGCGAAAGCTGAAGATCACATTCTGATGAAGCCAACAGGACCACATCATCTGCAAAAAGCAGAGACCTGATCCTCAAGCCACCAAAACAGATGCCCTCCACACCTTGGCTGTGCCTAGAAATCCTGTCAATAAAGGTTATGAACAGAATCGATGACGAAGGGCAGCCTTGGCGGATTCCAACTCTCACTGGGAACGAGCCCGACTTACTGC